AATTTGCATTGCAGTTTTTTTGCTTGTCATAATTGTTACTTTTCAGCTAGTCTTTTCAATTTTTATAGGTTCTTTCAGGTATTTCAAATCATTTTATATCATATTAGACAATGGAAGTCCAAACTAATGAAATGCATCATTCAGGCCAGTCTTCACTCACCTATACAGTAGGTTCATGGACTGACCTATCAAAAAACAACTACTACCCTGGTTAATACCACGAAGGGTATCCGACAGGTGTCAGTACAAGATTCCCCACTGAAATTATTCCTGCATATACTCTTGGTGAATAATCCTGTTGAATAAACCTGCACTGTTACTTGTCGGATATAATCAAACGCCCTCCGTGGTATTAGCCAGGGAAGTAGTTATTTTCTGATAGGTGTCAGTCTATCGACCTACAGTGTAGGTGATTTAAGACTGCTCTCAATGAATTTTTCTTTCAGATGATTCGACCCCTTCTGCTGACCATTGCAGGCTGCTGGTGACGCAATTTTTGTTTTTTTTGTATTTCGTCGATTTCCGCACAGTGGGACTTTACTATGATGGTTTGGCCGGTTGCAGACAGTTATAGTGAATCACACCAGCCGATGAATACCATACAGAAATCATTATGTTTTTTGGTGGGTTTTCGGCTTTGGGAAGTGCCTGGGTAGCTCATCGGTGTCCAAGCACTGTCTTTAACGTCATCTGCTGTCGTAGAGGATCCAGAATTTACAGCACGTGACGATCCGATCCAAAGAAGCATGGTTTTGGTTGCACCCAAGCAAAGAAGAACAGACCTCGAAACGTGATAATTTCTGTCGATAGTTCAATTCATGGGACACCCACTTTTCGAGCTTTTTGACATTTTCGATACGTTTTAAACTATCAGAAACCGCATGGTGTCTGACGTCCAGTTCTTCCGTCATCCCACGCACCGGTAATGATGGGTCATTCTTCAGCAAGGTCCTCAAATCCACTTCCTGAATTACCAGGAACACAATCATTGCCAAATGATTGGTTAATTTTTCGGCCTGTTTCGGCTGCGCTTCAGTTCAATTTGAATCGATTAGTATATACCTAATTTTCATTTCTTGTTATACCTTCAATTTTTATTGTTGCTTGTATTTTATTTCATTTTAATTTCAGTGTTTTTTGCCTGATTGTTATTTTTCAGCAAATATTTTTAGTTTTTATAGGTTCCTTCAGGGATTTCAGATCAATTTATCTAATTTTAGACAATGGAAGGACGACCTTCTGTTGAATAATTCTGCACTGTTACTTGTCGGATATGATCAAACGCCCTTCGTAGTATTAGCCAGGAAAGTAGTTGTTTTCTGATAGGTGTCGGTCCATCAACCTACAGTGTACGTAATATAAGACTGCCCTGAACGAATTTTTCGTTCAGATGATTTGACCCTTTCTGCTGACCATTATAGGCTGCTGGTGACGCAATTTTCGGTATATTTCGTCGATTTCCGCACAGTAGGACTTTACTATGATGGTTTGGCCGGTTGCAGACAGTTATAGTGAGTCACACCAGCCGCTGATCTCCATACAGTAATCATATTGTTTTTTGGTGGGTTTTCGGCTTTGGGAAGTGCTTGGGTAGCTCATCGGTGTCCAACCACTGTCGTCATCTGCTGTCATAGAGGATCCAGATTTTACAGCACGTGACGATCCGATCCAAAGAAGCATGCATTTGGTTACATCCAAGCAAAGAAGAACAGACCTCGAAACGTGATATTTTCTGTCGATAGTTCAAATCATGGGACACCCACTTTTCGAGCTTTTTGACATTTTCGATACGTTTTAAACTATCAAAAACCGCATGGTGGCTGACGTCCAGTTCTTCCGTCATCCCACGCACCGGTAATGATGGGTCATTCTTCAGCAAGGTCCTCAAATCCACTTCCTGGATTACCAGGAACACAATCATTGCCAAATGATTGGTTAATTTTTCGGCCTGTTTCGGCTGCGCTTCAGTTCAATTTGAATCGATTAGTATATACCTTAAGAGCACCTTAAGGATTTTCCTGAAGTGCTTTTGTTTTGTCCTGAAAAAATACGTCACAGTAGAATAAAATTAATTGGGACATGGAGCTAATAAAACACATGCCAATAAAATGGACACAACTTTGAAAACAACCTCATATCTTGGTTTTGGCTTGGCATAGTCCGATGTAACCTGCAATCGATGTTTAAAAAAGGTACTTAGTAAATTTTCTGTTCCATATAATCTGCTGAAATATAAGTATCAAAACGGAAACGCCCACATTGTCCAATATAAACAACAGATGTTCAAGAAATTTCTAATCAGGCAACTCTTATATAGTTGTCCAAGGTTTGTTAGTTATAACAATCTTTGCAATTAGTGTGTGTGACTACATTTCTAATCAATGTTGATTTTGCCTCAGATCTTCATCCCAACAAGCCTCTGTCGATAAATATTCTTTGAACCTTTTTAATTGGAACTTTTAATGGGCCATCAAAGGAAGAGACTAACAAACAAGTTTCTTTTCTCCGAAACTTTATTGACAGACGTTTCCTTTGACACAGCGAAAACACAATACACATCCTTTCGTTCGTCTTCCAGAAAATCCAGTTCTTTTGACCTAGCAATTAACGCTGAACTAGAATCGAAGCTAATAATAAAAATGCACGAGAGGAAAGGGTTAGCTCGGACTAATTACATTAATTAATTCAAGATTTGCCCTCTAGAATCTCGCTAACAGTGTATGGCGCTACTTGATCCATCCAAAGACGTTTGTTTCTCATTCCCCCATAATTAGGAATAGTACACCTTTCTTTTTCTATTGTTATTTACGCGTGCTGTTGTTCTCTCTGTCTACGCTCGTTTGGAAGGGAACCCGTCTTCAGTTCGTTGCCAACTCTCGCGGTGTACACAGCGACCCGTTTTCAGTCGCAGCTTAGCTACGGTGCGGTACGTGTCACGCTTTTCGCTATCAAGCTCGCGAGTTTTTCAGGAGCTCGCTGAAAATTTCTGTACGGCCTTCGCCCCTACGCTATTGCAGGGTTTTCCGTCAAGGACTCTGGGATTTTATGGTTAGTTTTTTTCGTTATTGCCCGTGACGAGAGTTGTGTGCTGGATTATTTACGATACGATACGATACGACTTTGAGGCGATTGTGTTTCCTGAAATCAATCTTTATTGTGTTTGGTGCAAGGTGGATTTTGGATTCTCACACTCCAGTTGGATTTTCCGCTTTCCTCCTTTCGTTGTTGTGATAGTGTGAATTTCAACGGTGCCTATTTTCTGTTGGGGATTGATTATGTTTGTTTTGTGAAATTTGTGCATTTTTGGATTTTTGGAAACTGTGAGTATTGTTTCGTTGTTCCAAAAAGTGAGTCTTTCGAAGTTACATTTTACCTTTTATATGAAAAGGAATTAATCATAAAAATTGTAACTTTTATCACTTGGATTTCAGCTTTCATAATTTTACAAAATATTAAATGAAAGTTGACAAAAGCTACCTCGAAATTATAATAAACGTTATCTTAATAAGTAGGTACACAATTTTCAAGAAATTATTATATGTCACAAATGATTGACATGCAGACAGATTTTCTAATTGTTTATATGAATACTCGAAATCATCTTGGTGATTTTTCGTGGATTTTTTTCAATTGACGATGAAAATTCCGCGATAATATTAAAGAAAAATAATGAAAATTCAGAATTGCTCACCCATTGTTGTAGAATATTGGGTAGTTGGGTAGTATTTTTCTTGTCAGACAGGTATTCCCGTGAAGGTCTACAAAAATCTAAATTATATTCTACTTACATTTCTCGATTGAAATCACTGTTTTTTTAATCCAATCCAAGTAAATGAGGATGATTCTTACAGAATTATTGTTATGCAATTTTGAGGTGGAAATGATGAAGTGATATGACTGAATGTTTCAGTCATCTCCTGATGATACTAACTTAGTTATCTAAACGCTCCTCGAGTTCTGGTCTGGGAAAAGTCCAATCGATAGATTCATTTCATGAAAATAAGCTTATGAAAGTCAACTCGATACCACTAATAAAAAATATATTCAAAAAGTATCTCGTCATTGTAGATCATGAAACCATATTAAATATAACTTATATAAATTTCCCTAACTTCATCGCTATAGAAAGGAACTGAATTTTCGATTCTCCTCTCATTGTCATTCACTTTTTCTCAGGTCAGGAATTGAAAATACTCATACTGAAATACTGTTCGAATATGAATTGGTAACACAATAAGTAAAGAATTCCCATGCACAACCTTAGGGTTTATTACCCATATCTAGGACATTACATTCAATTTATTGTTTTTCTTTTTTTTGTATTTTATTTGAAATTGCATATGATGTAGGTATTGGAAACTCTTTCTATTGCTGGTTAATAAACATATTACTATTATTATTTTCATTTCACGCCAGAAGTTCTATGTCCATAATGGAAAATGAAATTTTTGAAAAATAATAAATTTCAAAAATGATGAAAAAGTTCTCAAACTTAGAATATAGTGTTGGTTTTCCATTTTTACGGGAAAACAGAATAGTCGTTTGGATTTTGGAAGTACTCAAGTACTTATTTCACGAAAAAAAATCTATAAATGTCGGATGCAAAATAATATTCAAGAGTGTCATTTATTCCAGAAATGAAAAAAATGTATGCATCCGTTAATGACTTTATATACTTTCAACAAAACTATGTTGTCACTGGTTTTTGCAATTTCTTTCTTAATTTGTTTTTTCATTCTGATATTTTGTTTTTTGTAAGTCAAAAAATCGAAATGGATAACACGATTTCTCGTAAAATTGGCTCTAGTCTAAATTGAAAGACATGAACTCATTTCATCTCTAATTTTGCAATATAAATCAATGGTGACTGTTTTCAAAACAATTTCATTAAAATTTAGATCTCTTTCAACATTCTGCTGCGAATAAATCGATATTCAATGTTGTTTTTGGGTCAGTTAAACACTATTAGGTCTTTTGGGAAGTTGCACCTGAAAGCGGTGCCTCGGCGAAAGTAGCGATTTACGTTGTACTCAAATCGTTATAGGCTTTATTAATTTGGAGAAACCGGTCGGAAAATGTCTGTATGGTTTTCGTATAATTACTTACCCATTTCGTATGAACCTTTTCCAACTCGATAGCTAGAAACTTCTGGAAATACAAGTCTATTTGATTATTTGCTACAGAAGTTTATATCACGCAGTATATTTTTGTAGAGAACTTCTTCGTTTGCCTTTCAATACAGCCGCACAGACGGCCCCACTTTTCAAACTGTAAAAGTTCATAGAAACACGGAAAATTTGTTAATAAATGAATTTTTTTTATGAAAAAAAATTGAAATTTTGATTGAAGACAAGTTATTGATAGGTTTATCACTAATATTCTTCAATGAACATTTGAATGATTTTTTTCTGAGTAGGTATTGAACGGTTGAACCTAGATGACAGTATATTGTTATTTTCGAATTTAGTGTTAACATCAAATATAAATTACTCAGTTCAACAATAAACGAGGTATAGAAAAATGAAAGCTTCAACAACAAAGCTTTAAATCAGTTTGGCCTGGTGAACTTTTAATTTTGCATTGTATATTGTTAGTTGAACTGGTTATATGTGACTACCTAAACTTTTCACGAGCGTGTTCATTAGTTTTCATAGGTAGTGATTTTCATGAACATTTCGTGATAATCTGATATGTATTTTTATTACCACAACTTGCGTGCTGAGCTAGAGATTATAATCCATATGTAAAAAAATTGATAACCATCCAAGAAAAAAGATTCAGTTCCACATTGTCAGACGTTGAAAAAGTTGACGGCAATGTAGTACCTATGTTGAGAATTTCAAATAGAATAATCTACTCGATAATTCATCAATCAGTTGATGAAAGTATATTTGCAACAGTCTTTCTTGAGGTCTTCCTGGAAATTCATAATTTGGTGACAATTTTATTTCAAATTCGTTTCTGTACATGGGGATCTCGTAAACGATAAGAGATAGAGTATCGGTTAAATTGTGGCAAAGTTGTGTATTTCAGAAACCTATTCAAATCGAATATAGCTCTTTTGGTTCTGGAAATATACAGGAAAAACCAAAAAATCACAAATAATTTTTTTGCCTATATCTTCTTTATTAGTAGACATATTGAAAATCTGTCGACATTTTGCTACTGGCACTTGATGTGTGCTCTCAGAATATATACATGAATCTTTTATACAGGGTGTCATCTGACTTGGGCCACCCCCATCCTTGAATTTTTAAATACGGACCTGTATTTACGGACCAGAGTTTTTAAAATAGTATTCATCGTATTTGTTGAATACAGTAATGTTTAGCCACAGCCAAAAACAATTTCTAAAGGAACTGTTCGGATAAAGTCAATAAATGGATAGAACATTTAATCAAACGAATGATATATTTCGAATCATTCAGTACCTATTGATTTATTGTGTTTATCTAAGGAAGAAAGTATAAACAAAATCGAATGAGAATTAATACCCAACTCCAAACGTTCTCACCGACAAAATTACATAACACAATTTCAAAAATAATTTCCATCTATCGCTTTGACAGAACGTATTCTAAAAACACTTTATTGTGTGATTTTCACTAGATAGTTTTACAAAAACACAACACGTGTTTCGCCATACAATGGCTTTCTCGGGCGTCTTAATAACTAATTCTACACATTAAATGTTATATATACCTTATTCTACAATTTGAGGTTCCTGAATTTCAAGTACCTGATTTTTTCCCTGAGCTTATGTTCCGTTTTCCACATTTGAAAAAATATTCAGTAACGGAGAGTTATTTAATTCTGATTGATCACTCAGTAAATTACCCGAATTTCTGAATCTATTGATTTCTAAACATTCTAGAAGATTGAGTTTCAAACTCTTCTCTTCTAAATGTAACACATCGTATTCCTGATTGAACTCATGTCCTTCTGCTAAAAGGTGGTTTGCAAATGTGGAATTGGTCTTTCTATTTATAAAACTGCTTCTATGCTCTTTAATTCTTTAGGAAAATGTTCTTCCAGTTTGGCCAATATACAGTTTTGGACAAGAGCCACAAGTCAGCTCATATACTCCTAATCTATCCAACAACGAAGTTTTGTCTTCATTGTTTTTAATAAATTTACTTAGATTATTATTCGTTCTGTAAGCAACGTTTACGCCTTCTTTCTTAAAAAAACGGGCGATATTCCTGGTTGGTTCACCCAAATATGCCAATGTCCTATAACTGACGTTATCGCATCTTGAATATGGGTAGACCAAGCTTTTTGAAGTTTTTTCGTAAGAATAGCGTTTATAATATCTACTTTGTACCCGTTATTAACCGCGATTTGTTTGATCAAATTCAGCTCTTTCTGGAACTCCCTATCAGACAGTGGAATATTCAATAATCTGTGAAGCATACTATTGAATGCAGGGTGGCAATGGTAAGGGTGTGTGGAGGAATTATGTATGATAATGTCTGTGTACGATGGTACATTGAAAATTCTATTCATTGCATGAATAGAATTTTCCGTCAAACTGGAAATAATTTTGAGATAGACAAATGGTGAGTAAATCTACAATTTCCTGTTTTATCAATGGATTCACGAGGTTTTTGTCTTTGACAGAAGCTTAGCGAATTTGTTCTGAATACACATACACCGGATAATTTTCAGTTTCTATAGCATCAGACCACCCGCCATTCGCGATTTTCATTAAATTAATATCGCCATACCAAGCAGACATCAAATTTATTGAAGGGCTACTAAATTTTCATTTCGTAAACGTTCATAGGAAATTATATCGGCCTCTTGTATATTTCCGCCTACTCCAATGACCTTTTTCCTGAAGAATGTTTCATAAGACTATATTTCAGAAATTCTTCCAGTGTTTTTCTTTCAAATTTCATTCAGCAAGAATTCATCTGAAACTAAACCAAGCTTTTTGCAATATTAAAATACTTATGTTGATTTTCCCAGCGTTTATTTCTGTAACTCATAACGCATATTTTCAGTACTTCTGCTGAAAGCTGAGTCAAATTCGGTTGAAATGTACGCTATCAATACTATGCAGTTCACATCATTATAAATTCGTGATGACACCATTTTTTTTTCATTTTAGTAAACAAGTCGTGGTACATTGAACTTAATTCGTTCCAGAATTTTAGGACAATCAACTCTCTCATTCACTAATTTGAGTAAGAATATAATCGACGCACATTCTACGCTCTAAACTAAAATGTTCCAAACATTCATATATGACATCATTACTGATACCTCTCTCTGGGTAAGAACCCTCTATTTTGAAAATTAAAAATTCACTAAACTT